CAAAACTTCACTGAAATAAATTTATTAAAATATCAATCCCAATTGACTCGCATCCAAATCTGGGCCCAGCAAGCCCAAGAGGTATTCTCGATCATCCAGAGATTTCAATCCAGACCTTAAGATGACTCGCGCAGCACCTGGATTCATCCAATGCGCACGCACGAGACTTAAATGCCCACTTGTCTTGAAAAAATAGATTTCAGCTCCAAAAACTATCTTCCAGGCGCCTTAAAACCATCCAAACCACTTAGCACCAAACTCCTGACAAGAGTGCAGAACCCATCGACAACCAGAACCTCCCCCCTACACTCCCATTAGTTCTCAAACAAATAATTGGAACATTACACTCAGCTGACTAAACTATCCCCCTTCAGTAACCCAAAATAACTTGCTTTTTGTTCTAGAGGAAAAAGTAGATTGAAGAACCCGATGGATACCTTCACTGGAAATCAATCAATGTCAGAATAAGTCTACAACCATCATATTTACTTATTATTTTGTAAAAAAATAGATTGTAAATTTTTTGTTATAAATAAAAAAAAAATCTTCTGGGGTGCACAGAGTAAAGTTACACGTACTGTCCCAAACAAAACGAGGGTCAATCTCAGCATTTGCTAAAAAGACCAGGGAATAGAATTGCATTGTGGGTAATTCACTTGTGGGCATGCCACAGAGCATTCACTAGTATTCACATATGTTGAAAAATCTCTGTGAAACAGAACTTACGAGTACTTGTGATTACTAGTACTAGTAACGTGTAACTTGTAACCTTCGTGATACAGGTCCCTGAGCTTGCCACCAGACATTTTCCTGTCAAACGTTTAACGTCATTCTGGACCTAAATGATAGGGACTCTAGGAATAATGGTAGTTGGCAGCACACTCTGACGTTATAACTGGGAACAAATTCCACTTATTCTGATTACAAGACTTTTGTCGTGCCCGATATGTGAAGTATGAGCTATGTACTAAGTCACGTGCGGTCAAGTGATTTGAAGTTATAGAGAAAGAATTTATAAACGTTAATCAAGAAGAGTGTAAAGAGAGTTGGGACCGAACTATGAGTAGACATAGCAAAAATATGAATGGTAAACCTAAAAATTTGCACATCTTATTCGTATTGGAGAGAAAAAGCTCCACCACAAAAATTCGAAAGAACAAAGATGAATGCTCTAAAGGTCATTACATTTCTTGTATTAGATCACAGATTTCCAGTTTGGATTTACGTGTGGAAGAATCGAAACATACAAGAAATTCAATCCCATTATCACAAACAAAAATTGTTAAACACAACATCAATACTCCATCAGAGTTCCATCATTGCTGTACTCAAGAACCTCCAGACATTGAAGAAGTGGTCCTGCTGGAGGAGCTTCGTGAATGTGAATCAAAAATAGAAACTGAATTGAAAAACATGTTGCAAGTGATTAAAACCAAGGACTTTCAAATTAAGACACTTACCAAAAAACTGGAGAAATATGAAACGAATTACTTCTTCCGGATCCTAAAACATGTAGTAATTGAAGCAGAGAGAAAGAAAAGTGATAATAGAAATTCTGCTTTAGCCATTAAAACAATCCTGCTAAAATATGGGAAGGACAAAAATATTTTTTAACATATTAGTACTGTTTTATTTGTTTATGTAATTTCATCCTAAACAAAATGTCTAAGTAGATTTATAAGTAATTATTAAAAGTATTATCATAAGTATTAAAACAATCCTGCTAAAAGATGGGAAGGACAAAAATATTTTTTAACATATTAGTACTGTTTTATTTGTTTATGTAATTTCATCCTGAACAAAATGTTGTCTAAGTAGATTTATAAGTAATTATTAAAAGTATTATTATAAGTATTAAAACAATCCTTCTAAAATATGGGAAGGACAAAAATTTTTTTTAACATATTAGGACTGTTTTATTTGTTTATGTAATTTCATCCTGAACAAAATGTTGTCTAAGTAGATTTATAAGTAATATCTGAACATCGTCAACCACACATTATAACATATTCATTAAGTAAACAAGAAGATCTTCCTAAAACTATCACAATTATTTTGAGAAGTTCAGGTACACTAAATCTAATAGACAAACTTTACAAGAGTCCTAAATGTTCAAGTTTCTATTTCAGAAGCTAATTGAGGTGTGTTGTCTGCCCCTTCAGTTGATACTATAATCTTTTTTATTTGCAATGTCAGCAGCAGATATATGGATATTAAACTATGTATAACATCTGAATCTGAATCTTGTTATCTTGTATGACATCTGAATCTTGATATAGTTTTCTCAAACTTGTTCTTATATCATAATTTTGTCAATAAAAATGAGTAATGACAGTTTTTCATTTTCATTTAGTCTCTCTATGACAAACGAGTCAAAGACAGGGGAGACATTGACCCAATGATTAAATGTTAAATCAATTAATGATAATTAATTGATTATTTTATTGATTATTAATCAATTAATTTATATTGATTATTAATCAATAAATGTTATCACATTTCTTTCTGTACTATGGCATGTCTAGATACTTCATGGTAGTTCAGGATCTACTGCAAATACTTAATAAGCTGCAAAGAAAACAAAATTCTGAGAATAAATTAATACAACAGAATAAATTAATGTCTGTCTCATTTAGCCTCATCTAACAATGATACACATTGCTCTCAAGGATTCATATCTCAAAAAATTGTCAGTTCGGTCTTTTAAAGATAGGTAAATATATCAAAGGAGAAAATAGATTAAGCCGTTAAAGAACAGAGTCGTAATTTCACATGGCTCTCCCATTGTTTGATAAACAATGTTCATTTTGAGAATCAATTTTAATACAGAAAAACATGTAATGCGACTCTTTTGATCTGAAAGCAAATAAATATTTCTGAGATAGGTCTCCGAACATTGAATAAAATCTAACAAAAAATAACAAAATTACAGTAGACAATTTTACAAAAAATGAAGAAATAGCAAGCAAATACATTAAGAAGTTTTGCAAAAAGTGTTGGTAATTACAAAAATATTCAATAAAATAGTAATAATCTTTTTTTTAATTATGAAAAAATTATAAAATTCATTTAAATTTATTGTGAATTTCTATTTAAAGCCTTTTACAATGAAAGTATTTCAATTCTTATGCATAACAATCTTGTATTACCCCACATTGGCATGCCATGTTTACTAGTGATTTATACAATTTTAGCTCAGTCAATGTGTCCTTGACCTCAAGATTATTTATCAACTATTTATTAGACAGGGAAAGAAATGAATTTTATTTCCAACGTAAAATGAAAGTAATTTTATTCTCACTCTTGTTATGTCCCATCTCACTCGCCCTGCCGAGTTCACCCCTTGTGCCTTCACCCCAACTCCCTTTTCCCATCATCTCCCACCCAGCCTATTTCCATCCAACTCAACCCCACATTGATCATGCTTTGGCCCACCCTACTGCTTCAGAGTCCCTAAAGCCTAAATGCAAAACAAATAAATTGGAGGTAACATTTTGAATTGTGATTCCCCCTCTTCTACCCTTTTTCTTTGTTGACCAAAAGTATTCATGTTGTTGAAATTATTCTATTATGTTTTAGAGCTATGATGGAATACTTGTACACTTATTTTACATTTTATGATTTTTATAACTTTGTGTTTGTAAGTGGTTTTAAAGCAAAGAAATGTCCCATTTCCCTTAATCTTTTCAATTTCAAAATTAAAATCATTCTGTAGTTTTTAATGTGAATCTGTGATTATTCCCAAGTAATAATATTCAATCATTAAAACACAGGATACACTTGAACCTTATTATTAACTTAAATTTGTGTGTAAAATTATTGTCTCTATCTCATTTCTAGTCAAATATGTGATTTTGAAATTCATTACTTCTGTTCTTAATGCATAAAAAATGCAATTGATTGCATTTAATAAACTTAAATAATACATTATACAGGTCTTGAACAACTCTCTTTTGGAAGATCATACTTTAGTAACTTAGAATTACGTAATTTAATTGCTACTCTCACTATTTATTTCCTATTAGTTAAGTAACACTGTGAGCATTGGCAATAGCCATGCATGTGGACATTCCCACAGTCTAAAAAAGCATGAGTAAAAATTTTGAAGTAAGTGGATTTGTGAAACCTGGTGGAAGAGTAAACCACATTGACGCCACAAATATCAAGCACTTGAAAAAGACTGATACTGTTGTAGTATTTGCGGGTTCTTAATTGTATAGGAAGAGATTGTGCAGATGAAGGTGTAAATAATTTAGGGAACTTTGTGAAAAATAATGAACATACAATTTTTAAAAATTATTGAAGCCCTTCGTAGACAGGATTTAGTGGAGTGGTCATATGAACGAAGAAGTTAAAAGGTTTAACAGGAAGTTGGTGAAGAAACTCAGAAGAATCCACAAGCACTTGTGTAATTTTGAAGGTAAATCAGACAAATTAAAAATATTTAACCAAAATGTTCATTGTTATGGAAATAAGAAACTAGACTTTGATGTTATGCTTGATGATGAATTGTTTGACTTAGATGTTATATGTATTATAACAGAGCATTGTAGTAGCAAGTAAGTTGCAGCTAGTAATGGAATTCGAGTTCTGTTGTTTTAAAAACAATTCTCTTAAAGCAAAATTTTGTCGTAAAAACAAGCAACATGATAGATCTTGCATATATGTTAATTTAAGAATCAAATCAAAAGCATACACCTATTGAAAAATGTATCAAACAACGTTTTGAAGAGAATACGGTAGAAATAATCGCCTATAATATCAATATCATTTGCATTTATACAACACCAACCAGGAATAAAGATATATTTTTAGAGAATTCAGAGACTGTAATTATTAAATTATTACAATGAAGGAAAACTATTGTTATGGATGATTTAAATATTGATTTCTTAAATGAATGTGAGTGTTACAAGTTGCAGACTATTTAACATATACAGATTACAAGCTATAATCGATGTTCTGACAAAAGTAAGGGATACTGAACAGTTAGCCATTGATCAAATCATACTTGTCAAAAAATGAATGAAACCTTCACATGATGTTGCTATGGGTCTCTCTGATTTCTATACCCAAATTCTGCAAGAACCCTCGGAACAAATTTGTTAAAAGGAAGAAATGATCAAAGAACAATATAGGGTAATAAGTACATGCAATGAACAGAATATAAACTACTTAAATTATCTATTAAGTGAAGAATAATGGGAATCTGATTACAGCAAACCTCAGTCAATGAATCATACAGTTGATTTATTGACATTTTTCACTATTATTGCAATGTGTAACCGAGGCATTTAAAATTTACAGTGATTAGGGAAGCTAAAAAGTTACATTATGAAAAACTCAGATTGTCCTCAAATAATAAAAAAAATGTAATGTGAGGTATTATAAATGAAGAACTAGGGAAGGATAGGAAAAAAATAAGAAATATACATTTAAACATTAATTGGATTGATATAAAGGATTCTAAAAAAAATAACAGATTCTTTTAATAGCTATTATTCCAATATTGCGTCAATTATTTTCAGTGCAAACACATTAGGCAACACTAGTACTAATGGGAGGCTCAAAAATGAAGAAACTTAATTTCAGTTCAATGGTTATAACTCTAACAAATGAATGGGAAGTCGCAGCACTTATAAAAGGACTTAATAAAAAGAAATCCACAGGCATAGATGAGATCTCAAATTACTTGGTAAAAAATTTCACAGAAACATTGCACAGTATAGCTATTAACCCTCATTATTAACTTGTCATTTCAAACTGGAAATTTTTCTGATCATTTAAATATGGCTAAAGTTAAACCACTATACAGGAAGGGGCTAGAAACAGAAATGGGGAACTATAGACAGGTTCACTATTATGAGTTGTTTTTTTTAATTACAAAAAAGATCCTGCATAATAGGCTTACTTCATTTTTAAGAAAGCATAAACTAATATTCAACAATCGACATGGTTTCTATAAAGGAAAACATATTTATTATTATATATTACATGACAAATTATTGTTAATATTGATGATGTCATTTATAATTCCTTCCTTGTTATTTAAATTACTTAGACAATTTAGGACACTCAATGAATCAGTAAACATATCAGTAAATAATGATCAATGAATCAGTAAATACAATTTTTTGTCTTCTTTTCCTTAAATGTATTTGAGTGCAGCCCGGGTAAGCTTCTTAGTAAATAATTAAGCAGAAATTATGTAACTAAGTACAAAGAATATTTTCATTAATTTTGACTGGGATGCTGGATCCAAACTTGGGGTATGAACTATCTGTATAAATTTGTATGTGGTCTTTGTATTGATTTTGTAGTTCTTTGAATAGGGACTGATATACAATATCGGTGGTGCCTTCTTTGATGAAAGAGTAGAGACTTGTATATATTTTGAGTAATACATCCGGTCATGGAGGGCAGAGTATTAAATGAAATGGATTTTCAAAGTAGGAATATCAAGTTCTTTATGAAGTGTATCCAAGATAGACGATACTAGTTTAGGAAAATTTGTCTTTTTTCTATATTTACTAAAACATTTATTAGTAAAAATATTGTTGTAGGTTGGGTTATTTGGATTTTATGATATGTTACTTGCATATGTTGAAAGTAAT